AGTATAAAACACAAGGTCTTTGGGAGCGGTCAGATGTTTTCAAACACAAACTGCATTCTGCCTCAACTGCTCAAGAAATTAAGAAGATTCGAAAAAAAAAATTAAAAAGCATTACAGCAAAACTGTCCAGCATTTCATTAAACTTAGTAATATCAAATACCACAATAGTATGAACTAAGACAGATAATTCTATTGCCGTCTAGACAGGGGAGCAGTTGTAGCAGAACATAAGGACTAATTAAAAGTTTCTGCTGAATTATCTGACCACAGTGGAAAAAAACATGCCTATTAGTATTGAGCACTATGTAAGCAATAGAAATATATCCATTATCTCAATTGGTATTTTAATTAAGATCAGTGTTTTCAAGCTCACATTCTGCTTCTCTTTAGGATCAACATTCTTACAACAGAACCTACTGAATTAGAAAATGGATTAAACTAGAAGTGTATTTTCAAAGGCAATGACAAGTTGCTAGTACATCCTTGTGTTTTCAGCTAACCTTGACATTAAACTTGGGGAAGCTCCATCCCCTACCCTTTGTGTGGGATCTTCTCCTGAAAGAGGCTGAAAGAGGACAGGAATGGGGGAATTATTTCCTCAAGTTTAAAACAAACAAACCAAAAAAAGCAGCACTGAAAACATAACATGCTTGGATATTTACCATGTCTGGTATCTGTTAGCAGCAGGACTAACAAAACACAGTTCCTCATACATTTATATTTTATACATAAGCACTGTCTCCTAAGCTTCTTATGTCATAACACTGGAGCATATATCTACGAAATCTAAGCTCACCTCTGGGATGGCACCTCATATCCCTTCAGTTCCATACATTTCCTAGTTTCCTAATCAGTCTAAAGGTAAGAGGCTATATGTACTACAGCCGAAGTTAAGCATGCACCAACTGCTTCAAGTATTAAGCACTACAACTACAGGATAAGGGCTAAGAGTAAATCTCCCCTTTTCCTCAATTTGGGGTGCTGTAGTGAGGAACTGCCTCCGGCCGTTCAAGTCCACACATTTTGCAAGAATACAGTATCTTTTGAGACTGTCTGTTCCTCTGATTCAGCCTCATTTCCTTAGAAATTCTCACTAAATATGGTAAAATAATTTAAAATTGCCACGATATTTCACATGTGAAAATGTCACACTTAATGTTATCTAAAGCCTTTGCAGAGGTGAAAAAAAAAATTAAAAATACTGTGCATGCCCCAGTGGGTATTCTCCCATTTCCAAAGTAATAAAATTCCTGCATCTTAGATTCAGTATATCACATGATATAATTGCCACAAGGCCAAATATTATCTGCAGGAAACATTTCTGAGGCAGGTTTGGGGGTTTTTTGTTTTTTTTTTTTGTTTTTTTTTTTTTTTTTTTTTTTTTTTTTTAAGAGAACAATGGCTAAGAAGTGCTCACAGGGTTGAAGCGTTTCAATCCATTTCAAAGTGAAATGGATCTGTGGATAGAGTGCTTGCATGATCTATGCTTTCTATCGTGCAGCTCTGCATTTTATCAAATTGATATCCTACATAAAGCATATCCAGTGTGACGATTTAGAGAATTTACCTGTATTATTCTTGACACAAGTTTAACATACAAAACCAGCACACTGCTGAATGCCTGTATATATAGGTGTGCACGTACATACACACATACACTAGGCTAGACTGGATTGAATCACATTCCTTTTAGACCAGGATTAACAATTAATCAACATGTACTTAAATGGAACTCATGCAGAACAGAGTCTGTTTTGTCTTTTCCTCCTGTCATCAGAAAAAAGAGAGGCCACGCAGGAAAGACAGGCTACAACTGGACTCCACAGTGTAAAACAAGGCCTGGTAAAAAGTAGATCAGAGCAAGAAAGCTACGAACTAGTTAGTCATCTCAATGATATTGATACCCATCCTTGCAAAGTCCTGAGAGCTCTAAGTGATGCTGGTAAGCATTGTATTGTCCACTGATGAGCCATGAATTCACTACTAAGTGCCAAGACACTGTGCTCCATCTAACATATGCCTTCTGTAGAGACTCCCTCCTACAGTAAGTTTCTACCAAGGGATTAATTTAACTTTAAACCTTTAGAAACAAGTCAGCTCTGCACTCCATGAGCCCATATGGAAACCTTCTGATGAAACTCAGCACTTACAGTTCAAACAGACATTTAAAGCTTAGAAACATACAAATCAACCAACTGACAGCAGTGTGGAGTAGCATGTGCCTTGAATAAAGGCAGTACGATAATTCCCATTTTCAGAAGCATCTAGCATTACATTTTGTACTGCAGAGACAATTATTTTACTTTAAATTACTAAGTAATCTATTTCCCTCAAAGTTTATAATTTGCATCCAAATTCAAATCTGAAGTAGTCAGTTTGAAGTGGGAGTGAACGTGAGATGAAGCCTCTGAATAAATAGTTTGATTTACTGTCCTTTGCATACAAAACATCATTCATCACATGAAAACAACCTTTGTGAAAAAAATAGCAAACTCATTTTGAACCTTTGTACACACTTATTTGACAAACTGTTTAAAACAATGTCTAAAAGTTTAGTGAAATGGGGTTTTTTTGCTTTTGACCAAAATTTTCAAAAGCAAATTTGAGATATCAGTATCCAGAAGATGTTTTTAATCAACATTTATGAGACTATTCAATATTTCAGACTGATGTCATTCTTTAGAAAACTGTACATGGATTGAAGGTAGAAAAGAAGCTGAACAATTGAATGTACAATACTTATAATTTTCAACAGATGGCACTTTATAGCAAGGAATCTATAATGTCTAATTAAAAGACAGCAAAAACAATTGGATGGCTGAGTGCAGTGACATACCAAAATTTGCATCTGAAAAAGCCTAATATCCCTAAATTTGAAAGTATATTTCTACAAAACTCAAAGTACAAAGAGGGAATCTAAAGCCAAACAAAAACTCTGAAGTAACATTCTCTCAGATATTAATCACACCGAGACATTCTTCACAAAGGCAGGATATTCCCATCATCTTCTCTTCTCAGGCAGGCTTTACAGGTAGAGTTGAATTTAAAGACAGCAAAGAAAACATGACCACCAAACTGTGGTTATTACTACATACAAGCTCAGAAGAGAACAGAGAATCTTTTTAGTAATATGAGTTAGAAAGTGCAGTCTTGTGCAAAATTTTACAGGCTTTTTGATGTTCAAAGCTACACGGAAGATTTTTAGAATCATTTATGAGCTAAATAAACAAGAAAGGCCTGGGAGCATTTCTGCCTCTGAGTTATAACCCAAGCCACACTTTTAAGTTGTCTGTCAGTATTATCGGAGTTGAAGGTGCTTACTAATGAGAGTCACAAAAGGCAAACTGAGAATGACAACATTTAAAGAAACCCATGGGGACTTAAGAGTTATTTTCAGTTACCTAATTGGTAGTTACAGAGAAAAAGTCACTCTTCTTGGAGATGCACAAAGGACAAAAGGCAATGGACACAAGTTGCAGCATGGGAAATAGTAATTAGAGAAGTTTTCATAACAGAACTAGTTGAATATTGAAACAGGTTACCCAGAGCATTTAAAGCTCCATCTTTGGAGTTATTCAAACCTTGACAAGGCCCTGAGCAAACTCATTTAGCTTCAACAATAGACCTGCTTTAAGCAGGACATTAGACTACAAGAACACCAGTCCCTTCCAGGAACTTGTAAGATTCTAAATTGTTCAATGGAAAATGCTACACAAAAGGATGAGACCAAATACCACATCCTCAGGGCATAACTTCCTAAAGATACTCCCTCAATTATGACTGAGTCATATTCTCTCAGACTCGCAAAACAATCTTTCTCACAGGACTGAGGACCATGTCTTGGTCTGAATCCTCATTCTGAACTAAACAAAAAAAGTTTAATTTTTAAGTCACCTATTTTTCATATGTAGGATCTGTTAGCAGGTAAGCTTCCCATTTTCTACATTAATTTATATAGGATCAAGTCAGCAGCCACAATCAAGCAGCACTTACTATGCTAGACAAAAAAGAAACATCTCATTTGTAAGTCCTGTGAGTTTACAGATTAGATGTTACCATCTAACAGTATTCAATACTGTTAAAAATATTCATGCCCATATGTAGAAAGTGTAGGCACATACAATTAGAGTATTTCCAACATTAAGTGGCATTCACGTAAAATTCTCATACGTCTGAGCTGAATTCTTAAGGTGATGTGACAAGGTCTTGGAACAAACAAGCTTTCGTAGGCACACAACTATACCAAAAGGTTTTACTAAGCATTATTTATTCCAGAAACTTTTCCTGAAATACATAAAACCTTTTTAAACCTACCCTCTGTACCTAAATATCACTAGAAATTCCACATGGAATTTGAAGGAGAGAGGTCTGCTAATAAAGTAATACAGTTTAAGTTCCCTCTTCAGCACTGTGCAAGAGAAAACTTCAGTTATAGGAAGATATAGGAAAGGGTAGCGTTATACCTCCACAGCGTCTTGGAATGCAAGTACTGGGCCACAAAATGCAATGACAGCTATATTCTTTTCTGTTCCTGAAGGAGGTATTCTTTCTCCTGATTGCAATTAAAAAATTTAGGCACATAAGAATCTCATTCAACAGCCATGAAACAAACAAGCATCAGTGAAAAACACAGTAGATATACGGCAACTACAGGAAACAAAGATTGCAAGCCAGATATTGGCCTCGTCAGGCTGAGCTCTCATGAAAACACAGCTGTAACTTTAGCACATTTTTCCCCTTCACTGGAAGGAGCAGATTCATCTCTTGCACAGATGGAAGACTCTATACCCAGGTGAACTGAAACACAAGCTGTTACACACTTTATACATTTAGAATCAACTGGCCCAGATACCTTACAGTTGATTTTAAGATTGATCAGTGATTTTGGTGTCAAGGAAAGCCTTACTAATCTGTTATTTACAAACTGCTCAGAATGAAGAAGTTGTTTCCATACAGCTTCATCCAACCCTAATGCTATAAAAATGCATGCCTCAATCCATTTAATTAGTGAGAAACTTCCATATATCTGATTCGGGCTGCTTCCAATCTTCTCCCATTAGTCCTTTCAGGTTCAAATCTTTGAAAAATTCCAGGCGATGACTGTAGGAGAGGAGAAATAAACAAAAAAAGTTTTAAGTTTGTGTCTTAATAAAAGGCAGCATCCTCAATAGGCTTAATTAATCTTTATTTTCAGGTTTTCTTGAACAAGAATGTAACCAGCATTCCATGTGTTCATTTTACAAAACTTGAGTTTATAAATAAACACACACTGCTGTGTTTCTGAAAAATCCTGTACTGGAAAACACAGGGCAAAATCCTAAACTATGAAAAAGTATCACACAGCATAAAATGAAGTTAAAGTGCTCACCTTTTAAACTCCCTCAATTTATGTTGCCTGGAACTGCAGTCGGAGCAAGAACACAGTGATATCCTGATTTTTGACATATCCACACTCCAAAAGAGTAAAAATTTACAACTCTTGACCAATTGAAAAATCATATCATATGGATATCCTTTCCTTACAGAAAAAAGGAAGGCTGGATAGGATAACGAAGGTAGTAAATATTTTTTTTTTCCTGTAAGACTAGAAGTCTTGTTTTCTTTTAAACATTATCAATCAGTTCTTGCTAAGAATTTCTCCTTTAGGCTACCACATAGAAACAGTAGAAGGAAGACGCTGAAGCCAATTGCTAATTATTGCTTATATTAAACAACTGCCAAATAGTAGACAGAACATCTGACACTACACTAATAATTTTAAAAGGTAAATGGAATTCTCTTACTCGTAAGTAATTTGTAAGAGTAAACTAAAAGCAATGAAAGTAGCCAGGAGCAACCTCTTCACAAAATTGTATCTACTACCAATGTCTGGAAAAAAACAGAGGTTTTTTTAGAAGAGGTACTATAGAAAAAATAGAAAGAATCCCTTCCTGAAAAATATTACAGGCACTCTCCAGTTTACCACAGAAAAATAAAAGTATCTATTTCTTATGAAACACTGATAAAGAGAATGTATTTTATTAGCAATAGCTTAGATTATTTTTTTTAATAAATAGTTGCAGAAGCTAAGTTTTTCTTAAATAAAGGCAAAAAAGGGTAACTTACCTAAAATTTACCTTACCTGGCTGTCATTGTATCTTGAGTAACAAGCTTGCATAAGAACTATAGTGTACCCTCCAGAGCTAGTTCATTTATACAAGATGCCCAGAAGTAGCAGTTTTTATCAAATCATCTCAGCCTCACAGTCAAAGAAAATAGAAAGGCCCAAAGCACAATTTAAAAATAAAGATATTCTAGTTTTTCTATTGATACTGGGTATCTTTTTATTATACTTTCCAGTTTAGTCTGCTTTTTCAAATTTTTCCATAATACAGAGCCATCTGTAGAGGTGAAGTTGTTTAGAACAGCAGGGGAGAAGCAAAAGAGATTTACTGGAAATGTATCTGGTGAAACTAACACCAAATGGCATTTCAGAAGGTGCTGGAGGCAAGGAAAGAGTAGAACAACCTATCTATGATTTAGCTCAGGAAGGTGATAAAACAGATGCCAATGGTGTTGAATGCATCATTTTCTATGCACCTAGGGGACAACATAGAAATCAAGCACTAATTACAGCTAACAGTGCTTTATACAAAGTACAGCACCAATGGATCGGGGGCTAAGCAGTATAATTAACATACTGGAGGCACTCAATCTGAAAACCAGATTAGCTTTTTTACGTATTCCAATAGCATAACATTACTACAAAAGAGCTCATTTCATGCTTACAAATCTGGTTTCTGTCCTTCCTGTAGTTCATGTCAAGGCACAGGATAAAGTGCTTCATATTTTCTCTCTTCTCCTGAGCCATGAATTGCAAATGCATTGAACTTGTTAGTGCACGGTGGAAAGTAATTCCAAGGAAGATGAGCTTTACCCTCCCATTTGGTTTTCATTCTGGTCACCTCAAACTCTAAAGGAAGTTTGTCCTGTTAAAGGAGGGGGAAAAAAAAAAAAAAAGAGGTAATGTCACCTTCCAATCAGGCAACGAGTGCCTAAAATCAATTAGTTTTTCTGTACATTATGAATGTACTTGACCACTTACTTTCCATACTCCTCTTCTGCCAGAAAGCAGCAGCACTAGGTGTTGTCCATGGCTGTCAAAAATATCAGAGCACAATTTTCTTAAAATGATGCCAAGTTATTAGTGTACTGTTCTGCCACAAATGTGTACATTCCCCATATTGGAACAATTTCTGTAACCAGTCTTCCTCATACATGTATCTTACAAGCATTAGATCTAGAAACACAAATTAACATTTTCCAGTGTGCTGTACTTACGGACAAAGTTCAACTTCTAAATAGTGTTCAGTTCTGTCATTCAGGAAAAATGCTTCTACAACTGAAAAAAAAAAGAAAGAGGCTGTCAGTATTTCATATTAACTATTTTGCAATGTCCTGACACCTTCATATCCCACTAAAACAATTGTTTGCATGAATATTGGCCTACGCCATGCCAGAGTTTGTCTAGATATGTACATGGTACCGACAGTTTCCTAACTATTTGAAATGCTGTGCCACAATTGTACCTTCAAGAGCTTTTAATGCCTATCATCATAAAAAGCTTTATAAAGCGCTGTACTAATTTTATTTATTTTACCAACTCCAGCTTTGGAAACACTGATCTTGATGCAGCAGAAAAATGGTGGGTCTACTAACTAATATTAACTGCCAATGTAGTAAGAAAAGCATCAGCACACAGCTATTTCAGCTAGTATGCTTGCTGTGAACAAAGCTGACCAAGATAGAGTGATCCTAGTCAATCATACTCACAGCATGCACTCCAGGTAGAGCACTTAAGTGCAGAAGTCTTGAGTTTGCTGGTAGCCTGAGGATGCAGAGCACCAGAAAAAAAAAATTGAGAGAGGAACATACACTCACAGCAGAGCACACACCCCATAATTAAGACTGCTAGATCTCAGAAACAGTAAGAAAGCATTCAGGTCTTAAATGTTTTTTCCCCCCCACAGATGGCTGATACTTTGGAGATGAGATTACTGTTCCAGGTGTACCTGAAAGCCAGGTGTGACTGCCGAATGACCTTTCAGGAACACAATGTAGAACTATAATGGTGTTTCTCACAGCAATGACATCATTAGAAAACTTTAGTTAGAATTATAATTAGATATGATTGATAACAATTTTATTTTTACATAAGCCTATTTAGCATAATAATATCAAAGAGGTGCTAATACTGTTCTACTAGAGCTTTAATCAGACTAGCTCAATAATCAGGAAGTAGAGAACTACTGGAAACATTAAACTCTTGCATTATTCAAAACAAAAGGTAAAAGTGAAAATATTGACAGGAAAGGAGAAAGAAAACAGCATTACTATAAGAATATTCCCTATTCCATTTGGGTACCATTTCAAATCATATTTTATAAGCTGCCCTTTGTTTCACACTTTCCTATTCCTCAAATATACTTTGGAAAAGTGATTAAAATGGACAAATGTTTTAGCTATTGCTCTCTACTTCTTCAAGCAAAAGTAGAACCTAGCTTTAGGATTTTGCTTCTATTTACCTACTGCAAATGCATTTATAAATATATGCCACAAAATTATTTTGATATTCAAATATGTTAAGCCTCTATTATTCCAGAGATTATATCAGTAACCCTGAAACTAAGTTTGAGTGCTGCTGTGGTTTAACCTGGCAGGCAGCTAAAACAGGTGTTTGCTCACTCCTCACCCTCAGTGGGATAGGGAAGAAAAATCAAAAAAAAAAAAAAAAAAGTAAAACTTGTGGGTTGAGATAAAGTCAGTTTAACAGGACAGAAAAGGAGGAGAATAATAATAAAAATGACAAAAGAATATACAAAACAAGTGATGCACAGCACAACTGCTCACCACCTGGGGCCAATGCTCCACTAGTTCCCGAGCTGAACCGTCTCCCAGCCAATCCCCAGTTATGGAACATGACATCATATGGTATGGAATATCCCTTTGGCCAGCTTGGGTCAGCTGTCCTGGCTGTGTCCCCTCCCACCTTCTTGGGTGCCCCCCACCTTCTCGTTGGCAGGCCAGTATGAGAAGCTGAAAAGTCCTTGACTTAGTGTGAACACTACAACTACCTAGCAACCACTAAAAACATCAGTGTATCAACATTATTCTCATACTAAATCCAAACCACAGCACTATACCAGCTGCTAGAAAGAAAATTAACTCTATCCCAGCTGAAACCAGGACAAGTGGCTATGCTATTGGCAGGATCAGGAAGATCATCATCATCATTCTTGAAATCAATCCAGCTCATCGTACTCTATTTCTTTATGGCCACTGAGGGACATGACATATTTTCTTCTTTTCCCAGTCATTTGTATTGTTGCACTACAATAAAACAACCACTCACCTTACAGCCAGCAGTGATGAAAATCAATTCACCACCCAGAAAAAAAGCATTACTCTTTGATAATAGTTTGGGGTGGTTTACAGCTGAATATACTATGTGGCTTATAGTTACTTAAGGAGCTGTTTAAGGGTAAAGCAGTGATTACAACCTAATTCTTCCCTGCAGAATTTTTTTTTTTACTTTACATTTCAGATCTGATCTTTAAAAGCAGTGTTGTGACGAAAGAAAACAAATTTAATTAGACATTATACACTCACAACAAGTAGATCAGTTTGAAAAAATAACCATCATGAGCTCTTAAATAAAGACAGGTATATTAACTACAGAGGAACATCAGTGTCTACACAAATCAGATATATTTGCAGCAGAACAATTACACTTACCCTCATAGTCCCACAGTCTACTAAAAGGTTTCCCTGGTTCTCCAAGTGGTGCTGGAGGATCATTAAAGAAGGGAGCATTAACTTCCATTAGCAGCCCTTCATTGTCTGACTTCAGCACAATAGTTACTGGCTCATGGCTCACAGGTAAGCCATCCCATGTGTGTTTAATTGTAAATTCCATCTTCTTGTACTACATAAATGAGAAAGGAAGTTTCTGTCAAAAATTGTCTGAGATTCCATGTCAGCACCACATACACTGCTTGGCCAGGAAAAAACCACACACGTTCTTAAAAAGACAATAATCAAATCATGG